ACCTTGTATAGAAGAAGGCTTCTCAACCTTGAAGTCGTCGGTGACCGAACAACCATCGGGAATTAACATCTTCAAGGGGGGCTCTTTCGCCGGCTCATCAACAACCATATCGGGCTCTTTTAAGGTTTTTGCCATTGTTATGGAAGAAAAAGCTTGGAAAATATGGAGAAAGATTGAAAGTTGAAAGATCAGACTTGTTGGATTGAGTAAGAGATGAGTAAAAGTTTTTGTAATGTACTGAAGAACCTTGAGTAACGGAGGTAAAAACGCTAGAGAGTATGGAAATCCTGAAGGTACGAAGGTAGAAGATTTGGTATAAAGTGAAAAATGGACAGAGGAGGGGTTATTTATAAGATTTCAGGACATTTCACATCCAGGGATGGCCGACCGGCGCCTGACATGCATGTAATTCAATTATGACATGACTAACGAGACGTTTTGAGTGTTTTGTCATTTATGTCGCGATGTGTCGAAGTATGAATCAGGAGCTCATGTCGTTTCTCATCATTTACTCTTCGAGAATGGAAAGGACTATCTGTATACGGGTAAAACCGATCTCATGGTACATCCGGTCTCTGAAAAAATGAGCCAATCTCGAGACATGTTGACAGAGGACCGAAATTGAGGCAAAAGTCTCATCGAGTCAGAATCCGAGGGCCTGACGCCCGCCCTCGAGAATATCGGGGTCATGGTTCGGAATCAGTCCTAGTATCACGGCGGGGATCTCGGAACGAAAGGTCATAATATTTGTGACCGGCCAGATATCACGGCGGGGATCTCGGAACGTATCGATGAAGAACCGCCAATTAGTTAATCAGAGGATTTTTTTATTTTTTATAGAGTTGTACCTAGAGTAGGATTCCCCTACTATATAAATGGGGTCTGATAATTCATGACATCCATTGGTAACATGCTTTCTAAAGCAGTATATTATTATTTTCTCTGTTATTAGCTCTTTCTCTTGTTCATCAGTACTGGCAATAGCGAGCTCGGATCGAGGGCAAATATTTCACTAAGGCTGAAACTATCTTCCTTGTATGGTTTGAATCCATTTTATCTTTGTTTTTTCAATTTGAATTAATTTATCGCTTTGTATCAAATTAATCCGCGTATTCTTAAAACCACTTACAAATTTAATTGTTATCCGATTTTTAGGGTAAACAGTATAAGTACCTTAAATTATATGATCTAAACTTTGCTTAACTGCTTTGACTAGAGTGTCGTGATAGTCCAATCCTGAGTGAGTTATGTGCCATGTGTGTGGGAGGTTTTGTGTATTCTGTGCATTGCATTTGATGTCTAGAACTTGTCCCGTGTGTTTGCAAGCGAAATAATAGTTTTATTCAGTCTTGAAAGTAATATAGGCATTTTATTATTGAGACAGTCATATGCTTTTACCCACTTAATTGTTATGTATCTTAGTTAACCCCTCTGAGCCTGTAATCTTGTTTCTTTGGCAACTCCATTACAAGCCTTACCCATTTATTTGGATTGACCATCTATTTGAACCTTTTACCTCTCGTGGGCACTTAAATTTGTTTTGGACTTTGTAAAAGTAAAGTGTGGGGTGTTGGTTCGGCTTTTGTGGAGCTATTAAAATAAGGAGAAAGGTGCAATATTTTGAAAAAGTAAGAACCACTTGAATTGAAAAAGAAAGAAAAATAAGTGTATGATTGTGAAAAAATATTCCTTGATAGTGGTTACTTGATGTAATTGTGCTTAAAGAAGTAGGGAGTTAATGTATATTGTTGTGAAGGTGGGGTATGGATTGAAATATGTGTGAGGTTTTGAATGGTTAATTGTATGTATTAAAGTGTTTAGGGAGGTGTAGTCACTCTTATATCTAAAAGTATCCTACCCATCCTGCAGCTTACATTACGACCGATTAAAGTCCTACTTGATCCTTGATTGAATGAGCTCAATTAGTAGAGTAGTATACTCTGTGCAAGCCTATGGTACGTCTTTTGTGGCATATGAATGTTACTTCTGAGAGTGAGTGAATTCTTTCTACCTTGAGTTCCTAATTGTTCTTAAATTTTATTATGTGTGGAACTACTCTGTATTGTTATGTGAAGGAACTTGATTCATGAGGGAAAGGTAATGTCGTTGACCTTTGTGTTAGAGTAAGTAAGTGGATTATAAAATGCATGGTGCTTTTGAGTCAAATCTTGAGGCGAGGATGTTATATCGCTAGTAAGAGAATGAAATCTACGAAACAAGCTACAATTACAAAGTTCGTCCATCAATCTTGAAAGAATTTATTTTTCTAGGTAGCGTTAAAATGTCTGCCTTAGAGTTTAAATTTTTATACATTTAGTTATGAATTTATTAATAATGTAATAGCTTTCTTCAATATTTAACTAGTAAAAAATGCATATCTTTTGAGATTTCAACTTTGAATGATTTTCTTATCTTTTATATGTAACATTAAAAAAGAAAAAAATTGGATGATTTTTATTTATAACGGAAAAAAATTATTTAAATGTCAAATGATGCTATAGGCGTATAACAATCATTTACTATAAAAGCAAAAAAATATCATAACAAATGAGGATTTTATAGAGAGGATTGACTGTAATTAGAATTTTTTTATAATAAATATTAATTAGTAACCTAATAAAAATGATAATAGTAAATAACTGACATTCACATATTACTAAATTAATTGTTTAAAAAAAAATTAGATTGTCATTTTTTAGCAAATATAGTATAACTTTAAATCCCATTCAAAACTTTTAACACCTCCTATATTTATAGCACCCAAACATGGCCTCCTGAATTTCTTATAAATATAGCAACTGATCACTTTGCCAAGGGTCTTTCTGTCGTAATCCAATTATTCAGTCACCATACCTCATAGTAAAAAAAAAACCACCAAAATAGAGAAAGTACATGACAAGCCCCAGCCAAGCAAATCTATTTGCATTAGCTTCATAGATTCCATTATAAGCAGCATATAGCCATAATGCAATATTGACCGCTTAGCTTTATACATTTTCTGCTACAAGAAATCAAAAAATTATCTCAACTTATAAACTTAGTAGAAACACCTAAATATCTTTCTTTTTAACCATAAGGCAGCAGTATGAACTCAACCTGCAGCATTCCTACCCATACCCCTATCCCCACAAAAACTCCTGATTCTGAAAATGATATCCCACTCTATACTCAAATACCCTCCAAAACCTAATTGTGGTATTTTTGGACTCAAACGACATAAATAGGTAAAAACATCAACTGAGTACCATTTTATATATAGCGCGGTTATTCACCGTGCTATACCTTAACGTCACGTTTGTCCGTTAAGGTATAGCGCGATTAATAACCGCGCTATATTTGAACTAAAAATTTGCGAGAGGTATAGCGCACATATAGAAGGTGCTATAGTGCGGTTATTCTATATGTGCGCTATACCTATATAAAAAAACGTGCCATCTCTTTCCCCCACCAGAACGCGAAACCAGCAGCCCCAAACTCCTCCCCCCCC